TTCCTAGAATTTCGGATTCGATATAGCAATTCGAGTATTTTTTAAAACCTGGAAAATCGAATTGGATTTTCATATCATAATGAAGTATGTTTTATTTTTCTGTTTCATATTAATAATATATCATTTATAATTAATGCATCTAAATAAGAAATAAACATCGTTGATCATTAATGCATCAAATAATAAATAAATATCGTTGTAACTAATGCATCAAAATAAATAAACATCATTGATCATTAATGCATCAGAATAATCAGTAAATATCATTGGTCATTAATGCATCTAAATAATAGAAAAATATCATTGATAACTAATGCATCAAAATAATAACTAAAAATCATTAATCATTAATGCATCAAAATAATAAATATCATCTAACATTAATGCATAAGAACAATAAATAAAATCAAATCATAGTATCCTATTCAAATTTAAAACTTGAATAATAACTCTAAATAAAAAAATATAACTTATCTACTCACTGCGGCTGCCGAAGAAAATAATGAATGCACAACACTATCGGCTGACTTATATACATGAATGAACATTGACTCTATAGCGGTCATTGTTCAAATGATTTTCCAGAAAGTTGCTTTCATTTTTGACTTTCTCTAGAATTTATATTGATTTTCTAATTCATTTGAAAATCAATTTTTTAGAAAATCAAATTGAATTTCTATATATTGGAAAATCAAGCATTTTCGAATTATTCAAAATTCAATGAATAAATCATAAATCTTTAAAAATGCTTCAGCTTATTTGAGATCGATTTTCCAAGAAGTAGAATTTCAAAAAAATTTACAGTGTACTAAAATAAATAATATAATATAAAGACGAGTTACTTTTCGGTGACGTTGTATAACTGAAATTTCTTCTGTGGTTTGTGATACTTCAGATAATTGAGCTTTTGGTATTTTATAATATAAGTTTAATGTTTGCATGGATTGTCGAAGTTGAGTGAGAATAAAAGTAGTGTAATTAGGAACACCTTAAAATATGAAGAAATAAAAAAAAAAGAAATTAATTTTTTATCAATCTCTATAATATAAGTAAATTCATTATATAATTTTGAATATTTTACTGCATGCAATCATTTATTAATAGAGAGTTTCTAACTAATTCAATATCTTGTTTGTATTTATTAATAGTTCTATCGTATTCTATTTATTCTTGCCTTTTTCTATAAAGAATTTCTTTTTAACATTTTTTTGACGATTGCGACAATGATAATATATTCGTCGAAATAATTTTACCATAGGAGGAATAAATATTCGAAGTGTGACGGAAAGACCATCAAGTATACCAAGTATTGTTGGAACAATATAAGCTCTATTAAAACGTTCTTCATAAGTATAAATACACTGATCTAGTGCACATTGATTATAATAAGGCTTGTATTTATTTGAGCAATAAAAATATTGGAATGAGCAATAAAAATATTGGAATGAGCAATAATTAAAGCATGATTTCACAGCAATTTTTGAGCAATAAGAAAACTTTATTTGAGCAATATTATCATATGAAATGGGCAATAAATAGTTTATTATATAACAATATTAATTTCATATTTGAGCAACAAAAAAAGACAAGAACTGCATTATTATATTTATAATTGGCAATAAATAAAAACAAAAATGAAATTTATAACTGATCATTGTACCAGTAAGACTGTTTTTGCTTTCTATAGTAGACATGGACAAGAAGGACTTTTTTTAGGATCGGAATCGTATCGGAATCGGCCTCAACAATTTTGGAATCGTATCGGAATCGGCTTCAGGAATTTTGGAATCGTATCGGAATCGGTTTCAGAGATTTTGGAATCGTATCGGAATCGGCAAGTGCTTTTTTTAAGTCAGAGCCGCTCACTATTGTAGATTCGCAACAACATGCATATTTTTTGCTATATTTTGTTTTAGGCACTTTGTCAATATTGTTTGTCACCACTAGTTTTACACTTCTTTCTTCTTTTTATATTTTCATTGTATGCAAAATGTACCACTTGGCGAAGGAAGAAATAGTTATTCATTCTTTGTTTAGATAAGCCCTCGAATAATTCGAACACATAAAAATGAAAAGAAAGAAAAGATAAAGAATGTATAGATTATCCAGGGAGAAGAAGACGAACTGAATACAGAGATGTAATATCTAAATAAAGAGATGTGATATCAAAGTACGCAAATAATTATGATTCGATATATGTCATTGTTATATAACAATGTTAACCAGGTTCACATCGAGTGCATTTCATCATTTTCTTCGCGCTTTGTTATTTTCATTCTTTGTCTGACTTAGGGCCTATAAATATCCACCACTCTCCGTACAGAAATGTCTTTTTTAGTCAAGAAACAACTGATTATTCACAATATTGTTCAACTTAACAATGGCAAGTTTATCGAAATCCGATATTGAAAAATTGATAAGAAACCGAGATCCATCTGTTTCATATGCTAAACCAAAAAAAGCGTTCAGTGAACATTGGAACAATTATTCTCAAGTGTTTGTTAATGGTATTCCCCAACATTATATATGTTGTTCAAATTGTGAAAACTTACTTGCATGGAAAACTGGAGATGGATCAACTAATTTAAAAAAACATTCACAATATTGTCGTGATAAATCTCCAGGCAATCAACAGTTAGTAACAAAGTTTATGTCAAGTAACAATGGAAATAATGAACGTTTGATTCGAATGATTAAAAAAAATTTAATAACAGCAGCTGCTGAATTTTGTGCTATTGATAATCGACCATTTTCTTTAATTCAAGGTAATGGTTTTCAACATTTAGCTAATGCAATTTATGGTGCTCGTCGTGCATTGTCTGCATTTAATCCGATTGAATCACTTTTACCCGATCGAACAACAGTAAGTCTTTGTTTACACAACACTCCCTGTATCTACACCCTTTTCTCTTTGTATTTCAGATCAGTCGTGAAATTGATAGAATTTTTTTTGAAGATCGTGCAAAATTAATTAATTTAATTCAATCGGTAAAACAGTATTTTATTACCATTGATTTTTGGACAGAGCCATATACAAAAATTGGTTATGGTGGTTTATCAATTCATTATTTTGATGATAAATTTGGTTTAAATGTATTTATTTTATGCTGCAAGGCATACAAATTACCAAATCAACAAGCCAATAATGTCCGTCTTTTTACAGAAAATATTCTGCGATCATTTAGTTTGGAACTCGACAAGAATACTTTTATTGTATGTGACAATGAAAATAAAATGCGTGCTGCATTTCGTCATGGTGCTGTTCGTGTTGGTTGTTCAGCTCATTTTTTAAATAAGATCGTTGAACATTCATTAACCTTGCCAACAATTGGTTGTGATGATATTCAAATGATGTTCAATAATGTTCAAGATTTAGTTAGTTATTTACGTCGTTCACATAATCAATCTAAGTTATCAAAGCGTTTACAATTGTTCACAAAAACACGTTGGAATTCAGTAAATATTGTAGTATTTCTATTTGATTATGTTTAATCTTTATTAAACCTTTTATTTTATTTATTATACAAAAAACGAGTGTATTGAGTTATTGTTTTTCTTTGTATGATTTAGGGCTATTCAATGATTTACAGTTTTATTACAGTTTATCCAGAATTATCTGGTGTTGTAAAAGATCCAGAACAAAAACACAAATTGGCTGCAATTGATTATGATGTTCTATTGGAATTTAGCAATTATTTTAAATATTTCGTCAAGGTGACAGAAGTATTATCAGCTGATAAACATCCAACTATTCATTTAGTATTGCCGTTAAAACAATGGTTAATCAATTTATCAAAACCAAATGCACATGATTCTGCTGCAATTGCTTCTTTGAAAAAATACATGCATCGTGAAATTGCTTCATATTGGGAGCTTGAAGATGTACACTTTATGGCTGTCATTTTACAACCAAATTTCAAATATTTACATGTATGTCCAGCTGTTAAAGACAAATGTTATAATTTATTAAATGATGAAATTGAACGACGTCGTGCAGGTAACGATGTAAAACATTTTTCTTTTATACTTATTCTATTTTCACTATATTTCTACTATAGAATCACGATCTTCATATGCATCAAGTAGTTTGTCTTATCCGACAACTACATCACAACAAACAACAGAAGAAAATGATGCTGATATTATTGAATCATGTTTTGATCTTGAACAATCTCAAACAAGACAACAACATATGAATGATGAATTTGAAAGCTACTTGAATGAAGAAACAAAATTAAAACGAAATGATGATTTATTTCAATATTGGATACAACGTCAACAAAAATTTCCGATATTGTATTCAATAGCAAAAGATATTTTAACTATACCAGCAACTAATACGTGTGTAGAACGTTTATTCTCAGCAAGTGGTGCAGCTGCTACTGAATCACGTACACGTTTAAGTGCCGATAAATTAGATAAATTGATGTTTTTGAAAAAAAATCATTTGGCTTTAAAATTTATTACAAATTCAACATCACCTGAAACAAATACAACAGCATCGGCATCTTATGATGAATTATCAATAAATGAACGTTCCAAAGATCTTTTGGATCATCAGAAAAACAATACTATTGAAGAACAAACTGATGAAGCAAATAATGATGATGACTATTTTTTTTAGCGTTTTTTTCGAAGTGTGACTAAAAATGTAATTGTAAATAGATACATATCTATTCTTGTATTGAAACGTATTGTTTTTTTTTTGAAAAGAACTAGTAATTTTCTTTTTTTTTCAAATATTGTTTAAATAAATATCTGAACGACTAATTTAATCATTTATTAGAAGAGAAAGAAAATATGCTACTGCTTTTTATGAAAATGCTCCCGATTCCAATTTTCTAGTAACTTGAAATCGGAATCGTATCGGAATCGGTTTTTTGATTTTCAAAATCGTATCGGAATCGGGAGATTTCAAGTGAATTGGAATCGGTATCGGAATCGGCGATTCCGATTCGGATTCCGATTCCGATGTGGAATCGCCCATCTCTATATCTAGAGCCAAATGAATTGAATTCTACTAATAACGTCATCAATAC